TTTCAACTCCCAGAATCCCCCAGCCAGCATGCTGGCTGGGGAATTCTGGGAGTTGAAGTCCTGACATCTTAAAGTAGCTAAGGTTGAGAAACATTGATCTAATCTGTATGCCACAGCAGCTAAGGTATATATGTGCACTTTACCAAGCCTGACCCTCTCACACTAATGACCAAAAAGAGGTGGCTTTGTTTTAATCTAAACTATGTTACAAGCTAGTGACTATTGTCAAAGTCTGGGCAATATTAAAAATTGATATGTGAAAAAAATTGCACTTACAGTACATCATTTTTCAAGGAGAATAGCCTTCAAAAAGCTGCTAGCTATTTTTTTTCCTGATAAGATCAACAACTAGAGTTGGTGGAGGCCCATCAGGATTATATACTATTGGCAGTTAGCCTACTACACATGCATTTATTTCTAGTAACTAAAAGAGCTAGCTTTTTTACACCTGATCAACAGATTTTCCTAGAAATGAATAGGCTCCTCAACCAAGTATTCCTTCTAAGGCAGCTATCTTTAAGTAGCTTGGCTGGTTAAATACAGAAGGAAAGAGTGTTCGCCATTTTATTTGCTGTTTTCCAACTATATATATCATCTACTGCTTCTCTGCTGTATAAAATCGGGAAGAATCTGGAGTTTCTTGGAAGATTCCCTATAAGTGTGTTACTACACCCACCCCATCACCCATGCAAGCAATGGGATAATAAATGTCAGTGCCAAATACAAATCAGGCTCCTAGCTGCTAGTCTCTTGTCTAAATCAATCTTGAAACATTATCCTTCTGCTTTATAGACTAAACATGGCATATTGTGGATTATGAAGTTTGTTCTTAGAGTATGTTTTGCTAGAGTAGGTACAGAATGTCCTTCCTATATCCCTTTAAGCTGTTATGTTCCGTTAAGCCAGACCTTTCTGTCTTTGTCAAGGTATGTTGCACTGTTCCCTGGACTTGCCCACATAGCAGGCTTCTCTCACAAAGTGCAAAAGAACCCTTCTCAAGAAGTTACAATGATTGTGGCTCTAAAACAACCAAGCGAGTGTATCATGATCATAAAACTGCCAGATGTGAGTTATGCGCTTTATTAGACAACTATTTTTTGTTCAAATATCATTTGTACATTTGCTTGTCCACTCCGATCAGCTTTGGTGGTGTTCCTAAAACAGAGGTTCTACAGCCATGTAAAAAAAAGGAAGAGTTGCAGGTGAAAGTTGTTATCACCATTTTGAGGGTCAGTTTTTGGGCCCACCATATATGCTTGAATGCTGCTGAACTCTTCCTATGTGTACGACAAGGCCAGTAAGATCTCGATGACCAATCAGTCAAGGCAAAGCAGTAATCCAACATGAGAAGGAAATTGATTAGGACTAGCATATTGCTGAATTGTATCTGTAAACTAAATAAAAACAGCATCTTTGTGCCTATCTGAAAATACACACAGAAAAATAGCTAAGATATTGGCTCTACTTATTTTTTTGTTTTCATATTTCTTTTCAGGATGTCCTCTACAATGAAAACTGCATACTTCCATTTTCAGTGCCCTTGGATCCCAAAGTCAAAACTTCAAAAATCTCAGATATTCCAAAATTGCTTCTTGCTAGTCTGAATGGTTAGCAATTTTGTTATCTACATATAATTTCTGGAGGAACTTGTGGTCCTTCCAACGATGTTGAACATCAGTTCCCATGATTCACAGCCAAATGACCAGTAGTCAGAGTTGATGGGATTCAAAACCATTTGAAGGTTCACAGGTTACCCTCCCCTACCTCAACTGTTTAAAAATATATTATATTATGGAATTAATTTGTTTTCTTTTAACTCATTTAAATATGTAGAGAAAACAATAGCAACTGTAGGATCTAATTTTATTTTTTTTTCTCAGCCCAAATAATATGTATATGTATGATATGTATATAAGAGTATTCCTCAAAATGTTGCATAACCAACGTGGAGCAATCATTTTAAGTCTTATTTCACAGACAATTTAAAACCCAGTCTGTCTAAAAATTCATCACTTACTCTAACTTGGCCTGTGAGAATGCAAAGAAAATATTAAAACGAACAGAAAATAAATCTCTTTATAAAAATTGCCTACAAAATTCCTACATTAGGTCTCTGTGATCACAAAGTTATTTTCTCAACATTTTGAAATGCAGTTTATTAGTTGCTTCTATAATTGTCAAAATATTAGAGTCTTATTTCTTCTCTCATTGCATTCTTACTTGCTTTTATCAGGTGTTTGTACAGTACAAGGTAAAAGAATTACAACTTTCAACAATAAAATCATTACCAAAGGATTTCCTCCTGACTGTTACATAAATATGTTAGGAGACTGTACTTGTCATAAGAAGCTGATGTTGCTGATGAAATATGAATCAAGATACAATAATAGTCTTCAAATAGATATCCGTACATCTGACCTGTAAGTAATTCCAATGCATTTTCAGTAATCTAGCCTGAATACAGGATGAGAGAGAAAAATGCAATTTCTAAATGATCAGAAAAGAATAATTTATTACACAGTATATTGTGTAAGATTCTTGAAAAAGAACCTTGCAACCACAAGTTTATTCAATATCTGAGCAACCGAAAGATAACTAAGTCAAAACAATAACCCAAATGATAACAAGAAAAGTAATAAAAATGAAATCTCAACATCAGACAGCAGAATAGATCATATATGGCAATGATGATAATAAAAGCATCGGCAGCACAACAATAATAAGAGTGTTTTTATACTGAGTGTCTATATATGTGTTGTTTTTGTTGGACTGTTGTATGCTTTCTGTGAGATGGGTGGCCATACAAATTTGATTAATAAATACATTAAATAAATAAATAATAACAGCAGCTATAGATTAGAAAGCGCTTGTGTATTAGTAAAAAAAAAAAAAAGAAGAACAACCAGAGGACTCTCTTGCATTAAAACATGTCAGATTTTTCTCTTAGTTTCTAAGAGTGTTCAAGTTTGAGTTTGGCAGGTACCGTGAAGGAGGATATTCTGTGCTGTGGCTATAGATGAGAATTCTGTTACCTCTGAATGCCCAGCATTTTTCAGCCAACAATCAGGATTTTAGATACTGAGATACCTATTTCAAATGGCTATTTTGAATGGTATGTCCCTTTATGGCAGATAAAATGAACTTGCATAAGGGAATAAGATAATGCTCAGTGTTAACTCATTTACTGGAAAAAATTTAAACATATTGTCAAAAAAAAAAAAACCTCAGGAATTTTGAACCCAGCAGACTAACTCTCTTTTACACTTTCTTTCTATAAGCCATATAAGTCTCAAGCAGCGCAATGGTGATCTCATTACAGAAATAAATGGCACTAAAATACAGGATACAGAACTCCCTGTTAGACTTAAAGGTACGTAAAAAATATACATCTTAATCATGAACTAATGCAACGACTGAAGAGTTTGCTGCAAGATCAGAGAAACTGAATGCCTTGCAAAGAAATAGAAAATATTGATACAGCATCAATAGAGGAGAAATACTCAATTTAAAAACCAGTGTTGATTGATCCTGGATTTAGAAGTAGTCCCTCAAAAGTTAATTATGCATTACCTATATATAAAGATAGAATTGTTTATATTTCTTGACTCTAAAATATATTAGAATAAACCAACAGGGGTAGTTTAATGATCAGAAATATTCAGATGGGGATGGGAGAAGAGACAAAGAACACTATTAGTCCTTGGACAAATTTATTTGAGGGAATTCCATCTATTATCCCTCTTGGTGGAATCATCATTTTGACTTTCATTTTTTAAACTTACAGGTTTGCCTTTTAGAATGAAGAAAACGTTAAATATAGAGGATATTAGCCTGCCCGCAGATGGACTTGAACGACTGATATATACTGGATATTCTGCCAAGGTATTTTTATCATTGGACATTACTGTCATTATTACAGAATACTTAAGGTTGCAGAATGTTAAATGATAAGAAGATACGGGAATGATTCTTTCTCCTTTAGCAATTAATTAAGTTCTGGATGTGTTTAGGAGAGCAGCACTAGAGGTAATCGCATAAGGATTCTGAGATAAATTGACCTGAGGAATCCAAGCCAAGATTATTTAATTAATTATTAATTAAGATTCTGAGGAAAAAATGAGCAGAGACAACTGAAGGTGAAATACACTCTGTTTTGTTGCTTCATCAGAATGTATTTATGATGTTACATTTCTTTTCATGCTTGTAAACAAAACTCCAATGACTTTTTTCCTCTTTTTGTGAAGTTTGTAGTTAATCCCTTGATAGAAAATTCATGCGGTCTCTGTGGATGGTATGGTTCAGAGACAGGGAAGTTTCGGAGACCAAGTGGCCATTTAGCTAAAGACGAACCAAGCTTTGTTCAGTCATGGGTGGTCCCTGATGAATGTGGTGGAGGTAAGCAGACTCTGATGGCTTGTTTTAATAGTCACCAACAATCTACTCCAGATTTTTCCTTGCTCTGACCAGTACATCTGACATTACTGTTAGCAACTGGATTGAACCATCACTTTAATTTCCCATAATGGCTCAGAGAGTCATGGGATCTTAGTTCAGAGTAGCCCATGACTGCTAGGAATTAGTATTGCCCCAAAGTTGGTTGTTGTATATCTGTAGAATAAATTGTTTGGAATAAATTAATTGAAATCACATACCTGCAAAGTTAATAAGCATCAACATGATGCTTCCATAAATGCTACTTTGGGAAATGAAGCTGTAGAGCTCCTGGTTTCCTTTAGAAAAAATCTGTGTTGTTCTCTTGTAGCCTGTAAACTGCGACACTCAACAGTGAGACATGAGAACCCAGTCCTAATTAGGCAAGAAAATCCACAGTGCGCTACCAATCTTCCTGTCACACGCTGTGCTGAAGGCTGCTCAGCCACTAGTACCACCCAAATCTTGGCTGGCTTCCATTGTGTGTCAGCTGGTAAGTTCATGTAATATTTACTTATTTTGAATATTCTTGTAATTTTGTAATATGGGTCTTAAATATGGGGCAGACACGCTAGATGACTCACTGAAGAAATATTTTCTGGGAATTTTCTGCAATCCCTTGGTTTTCAAATGTCTTTTTTTTTTTTTAGAGGGAAGCACCTGAGAGCTTGATTTTATTGGGCCATTCAGAATACTACAAACATTTTGTTTCCTCAATAGTGGAATTTTTCTGTTCCCATACTTGCTTCTATGCAGGAAAAAAGAGACTTAAAAAAAAAAAAAGTATTCTGAACTGTACAGCAGCAGTAAAAATGTGAAAAGAATGTCTTGATGTTTTTAATAGTTTGCCTTAATAATTGGTTCAAAGTGGGCTTGACTATCATCTATTTTCTATTATCATTAAACATACATACACATACTACACTGAAAAATTACCTATAGCCCATTTAATAAGTATTTAGCAATATCTTCTATTTACCATGAACAGGCTTGAAGACTAAACTGGAGATATGCTCTAGTGTTTTAACTTGAACTCATTCTCTTAGCATGTATGACTAGGTCAAACTAGATTTGACTATTTGCTTGCATAAATGCAGTGAATATGTGTATGTGAGGAAGGTGAGCACCCTCAAGATTATGGAAAGTGAGAGTGGAAAACAGTTTCCACTCCCTGCTGCCGTCCCAACAGCAACTCCCTGCTTCCCCTTTCCCTGCTGCCGTCCCAACAGCAATTCCCTTTCCCCAAGTTTTACAACACAATAGCAGCTTGAGGAAAGATATTCTTGCCAAGGCTGGGGTGAGCCTTAATGGTGATGAGGCAGTCTTCTCTGGCCTTTCATTGCAGAAAGTGTTCTTTGCCTTGCAACATCTTCCTTCTTTTAATGATTTCACTCTTTTCCTCTCCCTCCAGGAGCAACTTTGCCTACTGAATTGACAGTGCTGGCTGAAAAATCTGAAGACCTGGTAGACACCATTGAATCTCACACATCCTGCTCTTGCAAACAAGAAAAATGTGCTGCATGAACCTTTGACTGAGCAGAGTCAATGTGTGTTCTGTTGTTTGCTGTGGGGGCTAATATGTCAATTCTAGGCTACTACACAGTTGTTAATTAAATTATTTTAAGAACCCTACTGTACCTTCTTAAAGAAATCCAATTCTTTCTAAAGCAAGTCTAAGCCTTATTCCAATAGTAACAAAGTCAACTCTAAATGAAACATGATTTTCGAATAAACACTTGCATTCCAAAAGAAAAATAAAGTGGTGGCTTCTTTATTCTATTAGCAAAATGCAATGAAAGGGTTGTGTTTGATCGTGCACAAGTGATTGACTATTTAGATGATACAAAGGGTTTTTTACAATTATATGTTATTTCTAGAATTTTTCCTTAGAATAGCTGTTTATCAGTGTTTTAAATAAATACTTTCCCACTTCATTGAAAAATGTACATTTCTCACATTACTGAGAAATACTGTATGGTAAACTTCTCACAAACTACATATGTAAAAGAGAAAGAATAACATTCAGATCTATGGAAGTTAAATTATTTGGAGTAAGATTAGCAACCTGAACTATCTGCAGTTAGAATTATGTGTAGATCTGAAATGCCCACAAAGCCTTCATGCTACATAATACACGTTACTACATTATGTTAGCTCATTCACATACCCTTGCTATTCCAAAAGAAAATACTTATCTTTATGTAAAACCCTCTCTCTAATCACCAGAATTTATTTTTATTTTGTTTTAAAATCACAGATTGAAAAATCAAGCCCTCACTTTGACATAAACTACTGCAGTACCACATGCAGAATCAGTGAAAGGAAAAAAAAATCTGAGTTCTTGTGTCTGTGTTTTCATGAACAAATCTGACCATTCAATAGCCCATATTTGAGCAGAGATGACAATGACACTTTCAAAGTAGGGCGAATGCTGGAAACACCATTTTAATGGAGTAGAAACTGAGCTAGGGAGTGGTTAGTTTTGAAATTAATGCACTATAATGAGGTCTGTATTCTACACTATAGCCTTGGCTCCAAGATCTAGTGAGATTGTTATGCCAATCCAGAGATATTCCTTTATATTTTTTAGACTATGGTGGGTGTGGGGAGTGAGAGCAGAATAGAATGTTTTAGGTAGAGCACTTCTTTACATATAGTCAGTATACATGATAAAACGGTTGTCATCTAGAATAGGTGTGGATGATATTTTCTTTGCTGAAGACCACATTCTTTTAAACACAATCTATCAGGGACCAAAGTCAACAGTGGGATAACCCCTTTGATTTTTGGTAACTTTCTTCCTTCCCTCTTTTGACAGGCATTATCAAGGGTGTGGCTTTAGATATGCACCTCTCTATCTGTATGCATTGGAAATGTCTTGAACAGCCCTCAAACCTGTAGCCATTGCTGGGACAGTTTCCATGGCAACAGGAGGAAGCCAGGACCAGACATGATGGCCCAAAGATATTGTCCTCTGAGCGAGGGTGGGCCCTATTCACTTCCTGAGCAGACTGGAATCTATGTAAAGTAGGTAGTCAGGTTTTTTATTTTCTTTTACTCAGGTTTCTCTGCTGTTCTAGTCAGAAAACACTGAGAGCCTTACAATCAAATAGACAGTGATAAAATTAAAACAATACAATCTCCCTGCTGCCCACCCTGAAGGAAGGAAGGAAGGAAGGAAGGAAGGAAGGAAGGAAGAGAAAGAGAACAGCCAAGAGAATATAACTGTTCTTACTGCTCACAATGAAGCAGCTACTTCTTGGGAGCATTTCCACCTACCATCCTGTCCACAAAGTCTCTCCAAAACAATCAACTCTTCAGAGCTATAGAGAAGGACCCATCCTTATATCTGGGTGTATGATTTTTTTCTTTCTCTCTCTCCCTCCACAATCAATAGGCTGCTAGAGGTTGCTCTTATTGGATGTATGTGTGTATAGTTTTAGTAAGAAGATAAAAGCTAACAAAAACTAATACAGTCGTGTGAAAAAGAAAGTACACCCTCTTTGATTTCTATGGTTTTTAGGATCAGGACATAATAAAAATCATCTTGTCCTTAGCAGGTCTCA